TCTCAGGGCCCAAAATCTTCCAGAGAATTTTCCTCATCTTGCAGGCAAAAATATCTGCATTTTAATGTGTGTTTGTGGAAAATGAACTCCCTGAACATCTGAGCTGTTCAACCTAGAAGACTTCGTGTGATAAAGGGAGATTTCAGGACAGGGGAGGGAGCAACACGGGTGGTGGGCGGTAAGTGTACCCCAGTGGCTGAGGTTATGTGCCCCACTCTCAGGCTAGCACCTCTTTGCTGACCAGCCCATGGGCAAGCACAGGAACGCTGTGCCCTCACCCTGCACTCAGGGGTCTCTGGCTTAGAAGAGGAACCAGGAACAGGAGTTTTAAGTCGAATTATAGATCTACACTGCTAAGCAGTAAACTTTGAATTTTTTCTTTGCTGACTTATGTTCATCTCTCTCTTTGACCTCTCAGCTTTTTCTTCTCTGTTCTACTGAACCCTCAGCTGCAGGATTTCTGTCCCCTGACACCCACCCGCCCGCCCGCAGTGCTGACCCTTGCCCACCCGCGCGGTTCCCAGCCCGCCCAGCTCTTTCTGCCTCTGAGTAGCAGTTACACCCCCTCCTACCCATTCCCCAAACCAGCCTTTCCCTTGGTCCTCTCCAGCCTCGCCTCTCCCAGACACCTAACAAATCCTCTCCTCCATCGCTCACCTTCTCTCTAAACACCCCAGAAAGAAAACATTAAAAGTGGTCGTCCTCTGCCCACCTTCCCGGACTCTGAGCAGCAACCCCCCGGACCCCCGCCCCTTCCCCAGTCTTTCCCCAGGAGCGGGAAGGTGACGCTGCAGAGCAGACCCCAGGTTCTCAGCTCCTCCAACTCCCGTCCGCCCTCCGAGCCCGGGGACCGAGGGGCTGGAAGGTGGGGAGACGCCCGAATCTCACCTGTGACCGTGAGCCTGGTGCCCGGCCCGAAGTGCTGCTCGTAGGAACACAGAGGCGCAGCCCCGCACGCAAACCCCCGTGGCTCCCCGAGCTCCTGCCCACCCGGGGGACCCAACCCAGGTCTCCCAGCTCAGGGCAGGGGGACCGGGTGCCGTGAAGCCGCTGCCGCCGTCGCCGCCTTCCCCCCGGACCCCGCCGCCCAGGTGGCCCCGCGGAAACTCACCCAGCACGGTCAGCCGGCTGCCGGCCCCGAAAGTCAGGACGTTGGCCCCAGAGCACAGCCCGGGGGCACCCCACAAAAACCAGACCCAAGCCGCCCGCGCCCCTGCAGCCCGCGCTCACCGAGCACCAGGAGCCGCGTGCCTGGCCCGAAGTACTGGGTCTCTTGGTCACGGCCCCCGAGCCCCGCACAAAAACCCGAGCGCCGGCCCGCCCCCGGTCCCCCGGCGGCCCTGGCTTACCCAACACCGAGAGCCGGGTCCCCGCGCCGAAGTACTGAGTGTTTTGGCTCACAGCCCCCGGGCCCAACACAAAAACTGGCCTTGCGATACCCCCGGCGTCCCGGAGCGCCCCCTCCCCGGGTCCCTGGCTTCCACGGGCGCCCCCGCTTACCCAGCACGGTCAGCCGCGTGCCTGGGCCGAAGTACAGCGGATCTGTGCTCACAGCCTGGAGGCCCAGGACAAAAACTGGCGCCGTCCGCTCTGCTGTCCCAGACTCAGTTGGGTCCTTCCCACCGCTGAGCGCCCCATCGCCCTCCCAGGACCCAGAACCAGGGGTCCCCGGCCCAGGCGCCCAGCAGCGCCTCTCAGCACAGCCCCTCTCAGAGTAGGGCAGCTGCTCACCTCTGCCCATCCCGCCCCCTTGGAGCGCTCCGGGACCCCAGCGGCCTCCTTACCCAGCACCGTCAGCCTAGAGCCCTCTCCAAAGAACACCTGTCCGGTGTTCGCACAGCTCTGGGGACCCTGGCGCAAACCCCGCTTTCCCCGAGGAGGGCCCTGGATGGCCCAGTGTCCACTCCCTTAAGGACAGGGTTCTGGGGTCGTCCAGGCTGGGCAGCCCACCCTCTGTCCCACCTGGAGCCCCCTTCTTACCTAGCACGGTGAGCCGTGTCCCTGGCCCGAAGAACTGCTCATTGTAGGAGCACAGTGGGAACGGGCTGCCCAGAATTCCTTCTCCTTCCCCACCTCCCTTAGCACAGACTGGGGCACACCAACCCTCTCTTTCCTGAACCCATCTCTTCCTGTCTGAGTTAGCTGGACACGGCAACCTGGATCTTGCATGAGGTCACCACCCATTTGCAGAGGGAAATCCACTTGGCTTGGGGACAATACAGTGGATTTGAAATCTGAAGGGGCATTAGTGACACTGGAGTGGCTGGAGTTGGGCAGTGTTGCAGGCTAGACCTTGCTTCTTCTTAGTTATATGACCTATAACCTTTCCGACCTCAGTTTCTTCATCTGAAAAATGTGACAATATCTTTCCCTCAGGGTTTTCGTCTGTTCTTAATAATTCATGTGCAAGTACTTTGTCAAGATAAACTTTATTAGAAGTGCTGAATGATGATCCCACTTTGCTGTCTTGGCCTTCTCATTCCTGGGAAGCTGAGTCTAGACAGGGAGATGCACAGGTGCTGGCTAGGCTGGGGGCCTCTGCCAGACCACAGCTGGGACCAGCCCCAGAGACCTCTCCCGGCCTGGTTGCTGCATTCCCTGGACGGAGTGGGGATGTTTACTGCGGCAGGGCTTTTTGTAAAAGCACCTCCTCTGCCTGAACCATCGTGCTCCCCCCCCAGCCCCCACAATGTTACACCATGATACAAAAATGTTTCCTCCCTGCTAGTCCCCCTCCCCCAACCACTGGGCAGAGGCAGGAAGCGCAGGTGGCAGAGGTTAGTCTGATTGTGTGGGGCTTGGAAAAGACAAAGACAGTAAAATTAAAATGGGAAGGGCTTGAGGAACGTCACAGTGATGGCAATGCTGGGGGGTATAGAGGGCCCTCCTTGGAACATGCATCACCTGAGCAGAACATCTATGTCATTGTGTGTCCCTGGTGGGGGCTCACTGAGCCCACCTGCTCAGACTGGCATTTATAGTGAAGTGGGTGGGAGGAGCGAGGGGTGGCAGGGCAGCTCATAGGAAAATCACAGAGCAGTTGATGGTACCTTATCACAGGAGGGCAAACAGTCCAGAAACCTCTATAATTTCCCATTGCTTCCTGAACAAAGTCCAAACTCCATATTCTTCATCTACTCCACAAGTGTTTAGTGAACAACCACCATGTGCAGGTTTCATGCTGGTTGCATGGAGGTAAGTTTATTCCCAGAGTGGTAGGCACCGACCTGCCTTCTCAGCTCTGATTTTGGTTACTCCCACTTCTGACCCTTGCAACCAGCAAAATGGTACCCAGAGGTACCCAACCATGTCATCAGGGCTTTTGTTCTTGCCTCTGACCAGCATGGCCATTCTCTAGAGTGAACAACTGAGGCCAGTTCTTCCTTTGAAGAGATTGTCACCTTCTCAGACACTTCCCTGATTATCCCTGTCAGAAATTAAGGGCCACTCTCTGACTGCGTTTTAGTAAGCAGTTCATGTTGCTCTTTCAAAGCATTGACTTGCATTCGGCTCTTTCTGTTCATAAATGAGTCTCTCTGTGAACAGGTAAACTTCTTGGGGACTGTAATTTGGGTATCTTAATTTTCTTGGAAGTTGATGACAACACATTGCAGTGATATGTGTTTAATGAATGATGTGTGCACATGTGTATAAATATAAACATATATGTACACATGTGTGCATACATGCACACACATCTTTGAATGCATGTATGTATTGCAATAAAGAGGGAAGACCGTGTGGCGTAGTCCTGTAAGTTGAAGGATAACAGCTACTTTGGGCAGGACTTATGGTGATGATTACTCCTGGATTGGGTCATTTTGGGTTCACTCATTTATTCATTTATTTATTCAAACATAACCTATATGGTGTCTACACTGAACTAAGGTGCCATACCATAGCCCCGGGGTACTATCATAAAATGCCTCCTTGTTAACAAGGAGCTCATAGCCCCTGGGGGTGTCAGACAAATAAAGAGGTAATTTCCAGCAAGTGGGACGTGTCGCAAAGAAGATTATATACAAGACACTGTGATAGCAAAATAAAGGGTGTATTTAATCTAGTCTCAGGGGAGGAAGAGGTAAGGAAGGGGCAAGAAAGGGCCAGAGAAAGCTTTTTTGGAGGGGAAGACATTGAAGCTAAACCTTTAAGTCTAAACAGGAGTTATTGTGGGAAGAAGAGTACTTTGTTACCCCGGGGAAGAAAAGCATGTGCAAAATGGCCTGAAAGAAGCAGCTCAGGGGCTTCCAGGATGAGAGAAGCGAGGAGAGTGTGGAAGGAGGCAGGGATAATCATCGGGTCTCCTGTGCCACCTTTAGGATTTGGGACTCCATCACCATGGTGACAGTGAGGCAAGGAGAGCTTTTGAAGGAATTTTAGAAGGAGGAATAGGGCTGATTCTCTGTTTTAGATGACTTCATTTTCTATCCTTCCACGAGTCATCAGGGGACATTTTCACACCCGTTTAATTCTAGAGAGGAATTTAAAAACGGATTGGTAACTTAAACTGGAAGACACATCTCCCATTAAAAATAAGTTTCCAAGTCAGAGCATCTCTTCTTCAGAGCTGGGAAATCAACTTGATGAACCAATGAGGATGAGTGGAGTGCTCAGGAAGAGCTGCAAGGAAGGTGGGTCATGCATACGGAATCCAGCTTTGTTAGTCATGGGGACATGGCCAGCTGGAGGGCGAATACACCTGTGTAGATTGGCTCTTCCTCTGAGAACTTTTTTCCTGGCAGAACAGTATAGTTCGATATAGAAAATTCCTATACTCAACATCTGTGTCTTCCTAGATTGTACTAGGATAACCTCTTCACCTTCCATCACTGCCTTTTACATTGAATTAATCTCTGCTATTGATCTCAAGGTGGGCGCCTCACCCCTATTATGTAAATAGTCTCCATTTTCCTCGAATACCTCTGGTTTCTATCCTGATTGAACGGGGAGAATCACAGGGAGTTAAGAGGCAGCCAAGGAACTATGCAGACGCTCACAAGTCAAAGTCAGGCCAGACCAGAACATTTTATTGGCTCAGTCATGTAGGGATGCTAGAGTCCCCCTGGGTTAGGGAGATTTCAGCCCTGAGTGTGCAGGTGTACAAGCATATAGGGGGCAGATACTGAGATGCACAGAGGGGCGAGAGCAGCTCTTCAGAAGCACTGGCGAAAGAAGAATGTATATTAAAACCACGACGGGTTGGAAGCTCCTAACTCCACTTCCAGAGCTGCCTTCAGAAATCCTTTCTCTTGACCTGCAGAAGAGAAAGTTTTGGGGATTATTAAGTGCTAGGAGTTGGGATTGAGAGGAATTAATAGGGCCCATTGACCATACAAATAGTAAGGTCACAACATCCATTGAGTTTTCAGGTGACTCCAGCTTCTCCTTCCCAGCATGAACCTTCCACTGTGATCCTCCAGAGGTGCAAGTTGTCTTCTGAGGCATCTGAATGAAACCTCTTCCCTCCCTACTGCCCAGCTCCAATCCTGGCAGGGACTCTATGCTTCTGGGTCTGAGTTGCTTGGGGTGTCAATGTGTCACTTCCAGCCTGCTGCCCCCATCCTGCCCTCCTGCTTACCATGGCCATCAGCACGAGGGCACTGACCAGCACAGCATACAGGGTGGCCTTCCCCAGCAGGATCTCATAAAGGACAGTGGCAGACAGGACCCCTTGCTGGTAGGACACTGTTGGCAGGGAGGAAGGACAGGGATGAGAGAAGTGAGGAGAGTGTGGAAGGAGGCAGGGAAAATCATTGGGTCTCCTGTGCGACCTTTAGAATTTGGGACTCTATCACCATGGTGACAGTGAGACAATGGAGAGCTTTTGAAGGAATTCTAGAAGTAGGAATAGGACTGATTCTCTGTTTTAGATGACTTTATTTTCTATCCTTCCACGAGTGATCAGGGGACATTTTTGTACCCATTTAATTCACTAGAGAGAAATTTATAAACAGATTGGTAACTTAAACTGGAAGACACATCTCCCATTAAAAATAAGTTTCCAAGTCAGAGCATCTCTGTGCACAGGTAGCTCTTGTCTCCCTCACCCTCCAGTGTCTGTGAGTTCTCCATGCCCTGTTTCTAGATCAAGCACCATGGGACAGGGAGAGGAAAAGGGAGGGCTTACTTACCTGAGGTGAAGCCACAGTCTGAAAGAAAGCAAGGGGAGGAAAATAAGAAACTTTATTTTCATAGGCAACTAAAAGTAAAGTCAGATTTGCAGTTGGCACAGACTCCCAGACCCAGACCAGCCTCCTCTGACTGCCTAGCACCTCCTTTCCTCTGCCATGCCAATGTCAGCCACATTGTCCTTGCGATCCATGACATGTGGCAGCACTGAGGGGACTAGGGGGGCACCATTCAGATGAGAGTTACACAGGCCACTAGAAAGGAGACCCAGCCGCATGGCTTTGTTGGGCTGAGAATCTCGGGGAAGAATGAGCCACAGGTGCCCAAGTCTCCTTCATGGTGTGTGCTGGTTTCTTTCTTTTTGGATCTGGTCTTGTCCTCTACCTGGATCTTTCCATTTCCCCTGGTAGCTGGTCTCACCCAATCTCCTCCAGGCATCCCCCAGCTCCCACTCACTTGCTCTGCCCCAGGCCTCAGCGCTGACTTTCTGGGTGATGGGTTTGGCCCTTGGCTGGGTCCACTCGTCATCCTCCGAGAGCCCGTAGAACTCGACTTGGCAGCGGAAGTGGTTGCGGGGGTTGTGCCAGAAGGTGGCCGAGACCCTCAGGCGGCTGCTCAGGCAGTATTTGGAGTCATTGAGGGCGGGCTGCTCCTTGAGGGGCTGCGGGTCCGTGCTGACCCCACTGTGCACCTCCTTCCCGTTCACCCACCAGCTCAGCTCCACGTGGTCGGGGTAGAAGCCTGTGGCCAGGCACACCAGCGTGGCCTTTTGGGTGCGGGAGATCTCTGTTTCTGATGGCTCAAACACAGCGACCGTGGGTGGGAACACCTTGCTCAGGTCATCTGGAAAGGGAAGAGGGGTTGGGGCCAGGGCTGCCCTGAGAACTGTCTGGTCCTGGTAGGGGCTCTGTGTGCATGAGAGAGAGAGGGCTGGGAAGGGCCATAATGAAGCACAATGATGTCGTTCTGGGTCCTTATTGTTTGGGGGTCACCACCCTAGTGTCTGTTGCTCCCTCTCCACTTTGCCCCTTCTTTCAGTGCTGTCCCATGGATGTGCACTGCCTCCTGTCTCCCCACATTATACCTGGATTGTCTTGGCTGTTTTTACTCTGAGGCTTGTCTGATCATCTATTCAGATAATTTATCTGTGTATCTTGATTCTTAAAAGCCTTGCTTGCTGCATGGCTATCTAATGCCAAAATCTTAGGTAGGAGACTGTCAACAGTGGCATAATTATAATAATGAAATTGATGTTTTCTAATTATAATTTTCCTTTTTTAAATCAAGATATATATATATTTGTCTCTTGGGCTAGTACTGCATATTAGAATTAGCTTTTCTTTTCTAGAAAAGACACTTTTCCATTGCATCTGACTCCCCTACCTGCCCAGCACCTTTTTAAACAATTTTGTTTTCTTGCATGTAACCTTCTTTAAAGAGCCAAACCTGGTCAATATCTGAGGTGATGGTCCACATTTACTTCTCTCCTGGGGCACAGGAGGGTGTGGGAGCTTGTCCAGGATGACTGAAATTCCATGGAACCTGATGGTGGTGGGATTAACCCTTTATTATCTCAGAGTGTCCAGAGACCCTGCCTGGCCAGGATTGGAATCCATTCACAGTTAAGCTTTGCATTCTCAAAAGCAGTGCAAGCTCTACCACTGAGTATGAACAAACCACAAAGTCTGAGGGCTATTTCAGCAGAAGGCTCACACTGTAGAGCCCTGGGCCCTTTCACATGCTTGACAGAGGAGAGAAAGGATTTCTTGGATTACTGGAAGGAATGTCCTCATCTGAAGATACATGAGGAGTGGAGGAAACCACAATTTACTGTGCTCTTTGCTTGGCTCTGTTCCAACCCTGGGAGTGAGCTTTTGGTGCAGAAATGTGGCGAGCCTAGATATGTGTTCTTTATCCAAATTTGGGAAATGTTTTCAATAGGAAAATTGTGATGCAGGTTTGGAAAAAGGCAAACCCTGTGACCCAGTGCTGATAAGCAGCAGGAATGAAAAGGATTGTCACCACAAGTTGAGTCCTTTACCAAAGATTTTTATATTAGTTAGTCCGTTAGTTTATATGTCTTAGAGAGACAGCCTAAGTTGCTTTTTAAGTTGCACACCTCCCCCACCACAGCCCCTTGAACTCAGGCCTTTGAATATGGTGATTTGTACTTTCCACTCAGCTCCTTGGTGTGTGTCCCCACCTGCGTGAATGTCTGCCCAACCCCTACACTTCGGTAGATCCTGTGTATCCCATTCCTCCACCCTTGCCTGTGTCTCCATCCTAGACTTCATTCCCTCCCAACCCCAATCCACCACCTCTCTGCTTCCTCCCCAGCATGGGAAAGGTTATACTAGGGTTTCCTGGGGGGCCCCTTACCCTATTATTCCAGTATAGATTCTGAGGCTTAAGTAAGTGGAGTCTTCTACCCATTTTGTCTTCTTTATACCTTATCTGTTGCTAAGATAATGTCAGTTTCCAGTTGTAACACTCTCTTCGGACCTATCTCCCAAACACCTGCCAAGACCAGTGCCCCCCAGAGACTCCCTGCAGCTCACACAATGCTGTGACACAGACTCCAGCCCTCAGGAGGCCTCGAGAGCAGCCCTGAAACCACCTGTCTCCCCAGCCTGGTCCCCCCGACTCATGAACCTTTAAACTACCTCAGGAAGACATAGATGGATCTTCTGCAACTGGTAGAGAAAGAAAGAAGGAGGAAGATAAAGGCACGAGCACAGTTCTGTGCTGGAGGCTGCTGGTACTGGGGAGAATCTTAACATAGAGGATAGTAGTCACCAAATGGAGTCAATAATACAGAACTGGAGTGAGAATGGGAAGGAAAAAATGGAGAAGACGCAATTTAAAAAGGGAAAGTGAAGCAACACATCCGCTAAGAAATGAGAGACGAGAAGAGTCCCAGAAAACAATGAAAAGAAGAGTGAAAACACCCAGCCCTGAAGACTAAGCAAGGAGCTCTCCAGCTGGGGAGTGCAGCCAACACAGCAGAGCAACAGGCTGAACGAGCTCCGGGGAAGGAAGGAGAGGGCACGGCGCTCCAGGTAGGAAGGGGTGACCCTGACCTCCGTCCTTACACCCAATTCCCTTCCCAGCAACTGATCATTGCGGTCACACACAGGCACCCCCGAGTCAAGAGTGGAGCCCCCATACCTGTCACAGTGAGCCTGGTCCCGTTTCCAAAGTTGAGGGGTGAATTATAGGAGCACAGCTGCAGAGGCTTAGATAAAACCCACCTGGAGGTCTCCAGCCAGAGGGCAGGTCTTAGCTCCCTGCCAGCAGGATGGCTGCCTTTCTCCGCCTGCATTCATGGCTCTGGACTAAAGGAATTCTGTTAGGAAGAAGGCCTCAGCATACGGTGGAGCATGAGGGGCACGAAGAAGACACTTAGAGGCAGAGCCATGCACATAAGAGGGAGGATGAGCTGAGAAGGGAGTGAGGAGGCAGATTATGGACTGAAGACTTAGAGAAGAGAAATAGAGGACTCAACTAAGACACACCGAAAGGGAAGGCAGGCACAGCTCAGTGGAACCCCACGGGGTAAGAGACTTTACTCAATCTCCCTCCACCAGCGCCGGGAGGAGAAGCAGAAAACTCTGCCTCCAAAGGACAATGGCCCTACCACCCTGGTGCTGCAACTTACCTAGGACGGAGAGTCGAGTCCCATCTCCAAAATGCTGTGCCTGATTGTTACACAGTGATAATGAGTGTGGCAAACCCCAGAGGAACTGCTGCAGGCCCTTCCTTCCAGAAGCTGCTTTCTCACAGAACTCCTGGGGACCTCGCCACATGCTCCACTGACCCACATTTTCTGAGCTTTTCTCGGCTGTGTTCTCAGTTTCTGCCCTCCCCAAGGAGCCCTCCGGGAACTCCGACCTCATGATACACTATTCCCAAAGAAGTCTTTTACATACCTAAGACAGAGAGCTGGGTTCCACTGCCAAAAAACAGCTTGTCATTAGTTGCACAACATTAAAGACTGGGAGGAAAACTGCCACCTGCTGCCTTCCACTCCTGCCTCCCCAAGTCCACCTGCCAGGTCCTCTCCTGCTCCTTAGTAGAATTTTAACCCCGGGAGGTAGAGGGTGGTACAACCCAAAATGCGGTGATTAGGCCCCGTGTGATCCCCCAAGTTCCCTCCTCTGTGTCCTTTCTGTGTGAGGGAGAAAAATAGCAGGACCATGGTGGTAAGGTCAGACGGGCACCCTTCCAGGAGACAGGAGATGCTCAAGGTGACCCCTTCCAAGCTGACCTCCCATCTCTCAGTAGAGAAAACTAACTAGACACAGGCAGTCTATGAAACAGTGGAGAGGGACGCTGTCCCCTCCTTGTCTGCCTCATAGGTCTTCCTGATAAAAATACACTTTAGCCTAAGCCCCAGAGACAAGGCTCCATCTGGATTCCAGCCCCTTTTGGCAAGTTCCCAGCTGTCCAGCCTTGACTTACTCACCTACAACAGTAAGCCGACTTCCCTCTCCAAAATATACGGTGTTTCCAGAACACAGTCTCCCAGGGCCACTTCAAAACCTCCCAGTCTCTGCTGAGCACAGCTGGGATTCAGGCAGAGGGTGGGAGTTCATGGAACTCTTCCCTCACAGAGACACCAGCTCTGCTTCCAGCCCTCTGCGTTCCCTTCCAGAGCTTGCCCAAGACCCGGGCAGGTGACAGAAAGAGACACAGAGTGGCCTCCTATAAAATCCAGCACAGGAATGTACAAAGAATCCTCAGAAAACCTCTTTCAGTGAAGCAGATAGAGAGGTGTTGTGGCTTGTTAATTACCTATTAATGCACCTATTATTAATTAGGCTTTCTCTGGGCTCCCCTATCTCAGGGAACTATGAAGAGTGGCATCCTTCCCTTCCCTTTTCTGTCCCATCATCCTGGGCTCAGCGCTGACTCTGCTCAGAGCCTCTGGGAAGCTGGGGTGGATTTGCCCTCACAAGGAGCCTCCTCTGAACTCAATCCCGGGACTTGAGATGACATCTCCCTCAATCTGGCCCCAGTTCTCTTTGACATTTCCCAGGACAGAGTCCTCCCTCATCGCACCCCTCCTAGAGACCCCCAGCCTTACCTACAACCGTTAACTTGGTTCCTGAACCGAAGGTGTAGTCATAGTTAGCACATAAGAATACAGCCACTCTAAAAAGGCCACTTTGAACCCACTTTTCCCTATGATAGATCTGCAAAAGTACCTGAAAAATGTCTTACCTACAACTGTGAGTTTGGTGCCTTCTCCAAAGAAAGCTTCAGTGTTCACACAGTGACAAGGGTCAAGGTGCAAATTACATTTGAGGCATAGAGGGAGGAGAGGGCCCTGGCTAGGGTCGTGGTCACTGAGATTAGAAATCTCCTCCTGTGCTTTATGGGTATGGCACAGAACACGTTCGACGTTTGCTTTTCAGGACCATGGAGAATGACAGAGTCCATCCACAGGGACCTAGGTCCCTTTCTCAAAGGATGCCCCATTCAAATGCTCCCTCTCTGAGGGTCCATCGAAAGGGAAAGGGTGTGGCCTGCAGAGGAGGGCAGGGGCCCAGAGCCTGTGGCTTCATCCATAGCTACCCATGGCTTCTTCCCGAGTCCTCTGGAGAGCTGGTCACCTCCAGTGCACCATCCCTCTGACCTTGTCCCCATTCTGTGGGGATCGGGACCCTCCCTGAGTCCTCCACTTGTGAGGTCTCTGAGGCATTCTTCTTATGTCTGAGTTTTCTCTGCCTGGGAAGCTTTAGTTCTGATCTGAACCATCCTTGTCCACGGTCTTGGTCTGACATGTGGTCAGGAGGGAGGCAGAGGCATTCTGAACCAAATTGCATTAAGACCTGTGACCCAGGAAGAAGGAAGAGGAACTCTGGGAGCTGGAACCACCAGTGAGGTTTTTGTAAAGGTTTCCCATAGAATTGAATCATTGTGGCCCCCCTGTCCCCACAATGTTACAGCTTTGTACAAAAACAGCCCCTCCCATGAGTCCGCCCCCCAGAGCCTGGGAGAAACCACCAGAGCAGCTGCTCCTTTGAGAGGAGTGGGGGGTGGGTGACATCACCCCCATTGTGCAAGTTGATGGTGGGGTATGGCCCAGGCCAGGGGCTTCCTCCTCACTTCCAGGCACTGTCCTCAGGATGTTCTGAGCTCCTTAGAGCTGGGTGTCTTTGTAAGGCTGTTTGCTGAAGGGGCTGGTCTTCCCCAGTACCCACCCCTCTCCAAGCTGTCGTCATGTTGGGGCACCTCCCTGTCGAGAAGCCACGGCCCCCATTGTCACTACCTGGCCCTACCCAGAGGGCGTTCATCACTCAAAGGATTTCAAGCTATGACTTAAAATCCAGAAAAAGAAAAAAAGACAAGCTTCATTGCATAATGATGACATACTTGCATGATAAAATATAAACAGAATCAAAATATACATGACAATCTGGGAAAAATATTCGCAGTTCTCGCCATCAGGGCTAATCTCCTCAACATATGGTGAACTCCTAGAAATCAATAAGAAAATAAGCAGCCCAACAAAAATGGGCAACGAGCAAATTGTTCAGAGAAAAATAAATCCAAACAGTACCTATCAGGAAAACAAATCACAATAATAAATGTAAAATTAAAAAAAAATTCATCAAAATACCCGTTTCACTAATTTGACTGAAAGTTGAATTATATGCCTATCAGTAAAGTCCTGGATAAATAAACTGTGATACGTTCACATAATGGAGTAATATTCAACGCTAAAAAAGAATGAAAATATTTTGTATTGCTATGGAAAGTTCTCCATGATACATTATGAATCAGAAAAGAGGAAGTCACAGAATAGCATAACTAAATGTCAGCTTTGTCTAACAGAGTGGGGAAAAGAAATACCCTTTTGTATTTACTTGACTTTAGATGCAGAAACACTGTAAATATACAACAGAAACTGACAAGACTGATGACCTATTACGAATGAGTGTAGTAAACTGAGTGCAGTGGCTCACGCCTGTAATCCCAGCACTTTGGAAGGCCAAGCAGGACAGATCGCCTGAGGTCAGGAGTTCGAGACCAGCCTGGCCAATATGGCGAAACCCCAACTCCAATAAAAGTCCAAAAAAAAAAAAAAATTAGCTGGGCATGATGGCAGATGCTTGTAATCCCAGTCAGCTACTTGGGAGGCTGAGGCAGTAGAATCACTTGAACCCAAGAGGTGGAGGTTGCAGTGAGCCAAGATCATGCCATCTCACTCCAGCCTGGGCGACAGAGTGAGACTCCATCTCAAAACAACAAAACAAAACAAAACAAAAAAAGTCGATTGCTTTCATCCATTGGAATGTGTCAAAGCCTCTTCCCAGTACCTTTCCTAATTGAAGTACATAGTTTATTTTGATCTATTTCTGCATGTTTTCCTGGTTCACTCACCCCGTTTACCTATCAACAATTCATCCTCTAAGCGTCTTTCAATCACCTAGTGGGGGCCCTCATCCTGACTGCCTTATGAGCAATAATGCCACTCTGTCTTGGCATCATGGTTTTTAAAAATTCCGATGGAGTTTGTCCAGTGTTGCCTCTCTGGACGGTATACCCAAGCGCACATGCGGCATTTTTTTTCCACAAAAGCCCGGAAGACCAGTTAGGCAGGTATCAAGTTGGGCTCACTCATCCACGTGGGCAGCAGGGGGCAGCCTTTCCTTATTTTTTAGACCTAAGTAACTGCAATCTGGGCTCTGCCACTGGAGGGGGCGAGAAGAATGCGCAGCGCGTGGTGGGGCGAGGACGGGAAGGAAGCAGGGTTACTCCTGCGCCTCGGTGTCGGGGGCGGACACGCAAAGAACATTTTACACGTGCCATTCTTGAAAGCTTTCCAGCGTGTTCATTTCAACCTAAATTCCTTCTGGTGGTGGTCTCAGTTGAGGAACTCAAATCCGAAGAGGCTAAAATGAGTTGCCCAATGATGAAACAGCAGAGCTGACACCGCGCCCCCAAGACTCCTTAAACTCAGGGGATGCCGCCACTGTGAAGTCCGCCTCCTGCGGCCAGACTGCCCGGCTCCCAGCAGCCTCGTAGCGTGGCTAAACCTCTTAAACTCTGTCTCTTTTGTCTGTGAGTTGGGAACACTAATGAGAGCTACCTCACGGGGTTGTGAAAATTGCACCAGATAGTGCATGTCGCGGTTAATCATGGTGCCAGAAGAGTCAGTCAAAATGTTAGTGGCTGAGGCTGGGCGCGGTGGCTCACGCACGTAATCCCAGAACTTTGGGAGGCCGAGGTGGGCGGATCACCTGAGGTCAGGAGTTCGAGGCAAGCCCGACTAACATGGTGAAACCCCGTTTCTACTGAAAATACAAAAAATTAGTCAGGGGTGGTGGCACGCACCTTTAATCCCAGCTAGTCGGGAGGCTGAGGCAGGAGAATTGCTTGAACCAGGGAGGCGGAGCTTGCAATGAGGCAAGATTGCGCCACTGCACTCCTGCTTGGGCAATAGGAGCGAAAGTTCGTAAAAAAAGAAAGAAAAGAAAGGAAGAAAGGAAGGAAAAAAGAAAATAGAAAAGAGAGAAAGAAAGAAAAGAAAGATGTTAGTGACTTTTCAGAGAGATGCTATAACTGCTCAATAGGTTCACTTTGCCTGCCGTGTAGACAGAGTCCATTTATGAAGACAGGGGAATTGCCATAAAGAAAGAGTGATTCACGCAGAGTTTTAAAGGATAATTTGGTGGGTGCAGGGGAAAGCATTGAGTTGGGAGTGCTCATCAGTTGTGTTGGAGATGAAACCCCTCCTGTTTTCTTGTCAGTTTCTGAGTGTGGGCCGCAAGACCAGATGAGCTAGTTTATCCACCTGGGTGGAACCAGTTGATCCGTGGACCTTAGAGTCTGCAATATATCTCAAGCACTGATCTGAGGTTTTACAATAGTGATATTAACCCCAGGAACAATTTGGGGAGGTTTGGAATCTTGCAGGCTCCAGCTGCATGACTCCTAAACCACAATTACTAATCTTTTGGCAAGTTTGTTAGTTTTATAAAGGCAGTCTAGTCTTTAGGCAAAAAAGGGATTTGTTTTGGGGAAATACTGTTATCATCTTTGTTTCAAACTATAAACTAAGTTCTTCCCAAAGTTAGTTCAGCCTACACTCAGGAAGGAATAAGGACAGCTTAGAGGTTAAAAGCAAGGTGGAGTTGGTTGGGTCAGATCTCTTTCACTGTCTCAGTTATAATTTTGCAATGGCGGTTTTAATACTGGTGTAGAGATGGCTTTATCATACCCATTCTCAAGTTTTCAGCAGGCATCAGAAGACCTGGAAGATGTGTTTGAATGCAGGTTGCCAGCTGGGTGTGGTGGCTTGTGCCTGTAATCCCAGCACTTTGGGAGGCCAAGGGGTGAGCAGATCACTTTAGCCTAGGAGTTTGAGACCTGCCTGAGCAACACAGTGAGATCGCCATCTCTACAAATAATAATAACATTAGCTG